CTGCCCGGCACAGGGATGTGCTGGGGCCCGGCAGCAGGGGGGGGACTGGGGGGAGGACAGGGACGGGGACACGGCCCTGGCACTGCTAGCCCTCCTGGTCCCCACACTTGGGGTGACCCACCATCATCCCCCCCGGGCCCTGCACCCCAGGGACCTGCTGTCCCTGCACCCCAGAGATCTCCTGTCCCTGCTCCTTATGGATCCCCTGTCCCTGCACACAGCACCCTCCTATCCCTGTACCCTGGGGCCGTGCTGGCCCCAAGCACCTCCCATCCCTGCACCCCTGGCTTGCCCCATCCCTGCTGGCCCCGGGGGGGAGGCAACTGGGGGGCACAGACCCAGCCCGGATGGCCCTTGCTTTGGACACTCACCACGTGTCCAAGAACGCTGGGGACCCCAGGGACAGGGCTGGGACGAGGCGCCATGCACAGCCAGCCTCTCCGTCCCAGGCACAGGATGGGAGCCCCAGCAGCCACGGAGCCCACGGCCAGCAGATGGGACACGGTGCTGGGAGCTGCTGGCTCAGCGTCGAGGCCCAGGGCAGAGGATTATAATCTGTGACTAAGCCCCGGCATTAGCTCTGTATTTTTAGCCGGCAAAGTTGCAGCGGGTGCAGCCACGGCTGCTCAGGCAGAAGTTTCTCGCCGCCAGCCAGAGACGAGGCGGCAGCGGGGCCAGTCGTGCGGCACACGTGGGCAGAGCCCGACGCTCCTGCTGGCGTCCACGAGCCCAGGGCCAGCGGGAGCAGCACAGCACGCATGCACCCCCCACGACCCTCGGGCACAGGAACGGAGATGGGTGCCTGTGCACCCCTGCGGCAGGCACAGGCCCCGCACGCCAGCAGCACACCAGGGCCCTGGCGGCTCAGCCACGCTCCTCAGAGAGGCGCCGGCTTCCAGGCTGCAGCGAGCCACCACCGTGCAGCACGTGCCACCCGGGGTCCCGCCCCGGGGGCCCTCAACCCTCCTGCTGCACGTCCCAGCCCTCGAACCCGGGGGCTGCCACCGCCACCTGGCCCTGCCACAGGGGCACCAGCAGAGCTGCTCTGGCAAAGGGTGCAGAGGGCGCAGAGCTGCCAAAAGGGATTCTGTTCAACTGAACTCCCAAGGAAAGTTAATTTCGCACACTAAGAGTCTTAAGCTGACGGTAATTGCTGTTGTGGTAGCGCGGCCGAGCCCATGGTGACAGTGATGGGGGCCGAGCAGAGCCATGCACGGCGGACACAGGCTGCCCAGCTCCCACAGCATGCTGCTCCCCTGACACTGCCATAGCACAAAGGATGCGCCCACCCTGCCTGTGCCACCACCCCTGCCCGTGCCACCGCCCCTGCCCGTCCTGCCCCATGCCACCAGCCCTGCCCGTGCCACCACCCCTGCCCGTCCTGCCCCGTGCCACCAGCCCTGCCCGTCCTGTCCCATGCCACTGCCCCTGCCTGTCCCTCCCCGGCAGGCACTGCCCCAAGCAGGTCTCGCAGGACCTGGTGCAGGCTGCCTGCAGCCATGGTTTGCTGGAGGGAGACAAGCGCTGGGTTGGGGGTCCACGTGTCCACCCGGGGCTGCATAGGGCAGGGAGGGCACCTGCTGCCCTGCTGCCCACAGCAGCCCACATCTGGGAAGGGACGTGGCAGCCCCGCTCC